ATGGAAATTATTTTTTATTAGTTTTTTAAAAAGGAAAAATTTTAAAAGGCATAACATGCCTTTTTATATCTGTCATAAATGTGTTAATAAATATGAGTTTTAATAAACCTTTAAGGATTTTCTTTAAAAATGTGAAGTAAAAAACCCAGCCTTCCTTATGAGATTTAGCTCACTTCAAAGGGAATAGATTTATACTGTGGTGTGCCTTAGCTGAAGTGAAACCTGCTGTGGAATACTTTTGAAAGATCTCCAAATATTTCTTAATAGTATTGGTGTGGTTAAACTAATAAGATAGGTGGAAAAGGAATTTGGGAGAGTAAAGCAGTAAGAAGAAATAGCCCAATTTTCTTCAAATGCAGCTAAGCAACAACAGATCAGTTGAACTACTTTTAAGTAATTATAGGCACTGGAACAGAAAATCTGATGTTTAATTATGGCACCATTTAAAGGTAATCAAGGAAGTCTAGTTGCTTAGGGTTTTTCTGTAAGCTTCCTTGAAACAGCAGCTCTACTCTACCCAGCTGTGGCAGCCAAGCTGTCTTGGGTTAACTATGCAACTGCCAGGAAGTAGAGAACAGACTGACCGTCTCCGCATATGCGTCATCTCCCTGTGTCTTTCCCTTCCTCTCCACTCAGATTTTAGTTGAATTGTACTTTTTATAATCTCATACACATTTTTTATCTGTCTCACAACTCTTTGGAATTTGCTTGAACATCTCAATCTCTTCATTCATTATTGAAACAGGATTCTATTTGTGACTAACCGAAAGAAGCACCTCACTGTGGTGCCGTACTACATTATAGGGCTATACCTTTTTGTCTAAATTTTGGTCAGGCAAGTGTTCCCTGTTTTCCTGTGAACCATTATAGCAGTGCTGTGAGTCGTAGATCTCAACCAAGGTCTCAGCTTCCTCAGAGCCCCTCCTCTTTCCTGTGAGGCTGTCTCGGCTGCAAACTCCAGCCTTTGTTCTGCACTTCAGCTTGCCAGTGCACTCCTCCTGCACTTACCATTTGGGACATTGTGACAAATGACCTCAGCTGCTTTCTGGACTCTGGCAGTTTACAATGGGTCTTTCCCCCTTGCCTGATGTTATGTGCTGATTGTGTTCCCCCTAAATTCATATGTTGAGGCCCAACCCCCAGTACCTCAGAATGTGACTATATTTGGAGATGGTGACCTTAAAGGTGATTAAGTTAAAATGAGACCGTTAGGGTGAGTTCTTATCCAATCTAATAGGTATCCTCATAAGAAGTGGAAATTTGAGTTGAGGAAAGGTAGGGAGAACTAGAAAGGGACACGTGCTTGTTATTTACCTAGTGCTACCTTTAATAATGATAATAACCAAAGAAGGCTTCTGTTCTAGGCAATTTTTACTTATTTAATCCATTTAGTGCAGGGGTTTTTGTTTGATTTTGGCTGTTACTCTTTGATTGTTGCCATCCCAGTGTAGCAGGCTTCCAGATACACTGGAGAAGCCTTTTGAGTGTACCAAATGTGGGAACGCATTTATGCATTCCTCTAGCTTGAATAATCACCTGCGGACTCACAGTGCCAAAAAACCATACACATGTATGGAATGTGGGAAAGCCTTCAAGTTTCCCACGTGTATTAGCCTTCACATGGGAATCCACACTGGAGAAAAACCCTATGAATGTAAATGATGTGGGAAATCTTTCAGTTATTCCAGTTCCTTTCGAAGTCATGAAAGAAGGCATGCAGATGACAAACTATCAGCGTAAGGAATGTTAGGAAGCCAAAGGTGTTCTGTTCACTCTGAAGACATGAAAGAACTCAGTCAGGAGGAACCCTGTGAATGTAAGGAATGTGGAAGCATCTTCACTACTCTTTTTGGTCTTAACCAAATACTAGCTCTCACTTAAGGTGTATGAATTCTTGGGGGGGGCCAATGGGCTAGGAGCTCTTCCTTATTGTATAGATTACCTTAAATGGGAGGTCCACTTCAACTTCATCTCTCCCAAATTACCCTCAGCTCCCACTCCAATGGTAACGCCACAGTCTTTCATTTCAGATGTTTGCTCTTGGTGAGACACTAACAAGAAGGCTCAAGGCCAACTACTTTCAGTGATGCCTACTGGACCCACCGGAAAGTAACATATACTTGACCTTAGAAATCATGGGAAAACAGGTGCTTTACCATCGACCCCTACCTCCTCACTTCTTGATACTTTTTTCCAGCTCTTTCACCCTGCTCAATTAGCTGCTATTTCTTGGCAGGTGCCTTCAGTTTTCATAAGTGATTCTCTTTAAAATTCTCTTTACTCGTCTTGGGGGTGAGTTGGGGAACACACTACTCATAACTGACATTCTGTGTGTGACAATTTGGACAGTTCATTCTGTGTCTCTGTGTCTCTGCCTCTCTTCTTCTCTTTTTTTGTCTCTCTCTCTCCTCATTGCTTCCCATCTCTAATCCATCCATACACATTTCTGTTTATATGGACTATGTGGCAGGGTAAAGGGGTGTGGTGGACTGGAGTAATTATTTTACAGTAGCACTGTCTCTTCATGAACAGCAAAAGGGTACTTGTACCCAATGTGTTTATCATTTTCTTTAGAAAGAGGGATACTTGTCTTCAGCCTTTGAACAACAGAAAAAGTCCCAATTAATGTTCTGTTACATGAATATATTATATCCTTATGTATAAAACTTTTTCATTCTCTTTGCTATATGGTATCCTAAAATTTAGAAAAGTTTTTGTGACCTACAGTAGCTTTAATTCAATGGCAAATATTTGGAAGGAAAGTGTGAGAATGAAAAGAAGCATGGGCAGGCAACTTTAGGAGTCCACTTACAAATTTTAGAAAATCTTCTCAGTTTTTACTCCATCTTTAAGACTTACAAATAGCACATTCAAACTTGAAAATAAAGAGATCATAAAATGGAGCTTTGAAATAGTCTTCAATCTCCAAGAAGTTTAAACAGGTCCTTTGTTGACATACACTATTCACTTGTTTTGAGAGCATTTTCTTAGTAGAAAATATGAAGACATTTTATACTCTGCTATGTCTCAGTACATTTTTTCAAACTCAGTCAAGTAAAAATACGGTATATATTAAAAATTAAGAAAAATTAAAAAGTATCAACAAATGGAAGCTTATAGATTACCTTGAATTTCTTGACCAGTTATTACTACTAAAACTGTTCCAAAAACTTATAGAACAAGAAACAAGAGATGGAAAATTTTTAAATTTGAAAGTTGGAAAAATATTTTGAGTTTTTTAGAGAACTGTTTGGAAATGGACACCTAATTACTAAAAGGATGGGATAAGAGAAAAATAATTTCTCTTGATCTTTAATTCATGGGGCAATAATTTGTATAACTTTGCATAATATACACAAACTGGGTTATAATAATGTTACAGAATATTTTATCAATATTCTAACTAAATCTATGAAAATAATTTATCAGTAAATATTCTTTAAATTTGCTTTTTCATGGGTGTTTTGATTTTTTAAAAATTCATTCAGCATTTATTAGATACTGACTTCATGTTAGATACTGTTAAAATACTTTGGGACATATAATGACGTATGAAACATGGTTCCAGATTGGCAGGGATGTCAGACATATACATAACTAACTGTATTGTGAGATAGAAACCGGTAAATGCCATACGAGGATCAATCAAGTGCTATGGAAATTAAAAGAAACTTCTTCCAGCAGGGGGAATGAGAAGGCTATCTTAGAGGGGTGGAATTTAACCTCTTAAGGAGTAGACTGAATTTACATATCTTGTGATTAAGAGAATTAGCATGTCAGGTGGAGCGAGTATTATAAGTAAATGTATACAGGAAGGGGGAAAATGGGTTGTGAAGATAAAATGACCATAGCTGAGTTTGATGGGTACATAAGGTAACCAAAGAGGACAGTGGAACATGTAGTTGAACAGGTAGGTTGTGAGGGGATATGTATATGTGGAGGGTGGGGAGGGTCTTGAATTCCAGGCTAAGGAATTTAGACCTTGGCATATACTATGTAAAAGAAGAGTGAAAGGGTTTTAGCCAGGGGAAGGAAGAAGAGGGAGAAGGAGTTGACATTGTTCAAGAGAATAATCGGGCAAGTGACTGATGGGGTGGGGTGGAGACTTAGAGGGGAAAGGGGCCTCCAGAACAGGAGACTGAAATTGTGACTGAGAGAAAGGGCACTTGAGGGAGGATGGTCCCACAAGAAAAAAGGTGAGATAATAACAAAAGTCTGAGATAAAAGGATCACAGTAATGAATGCTGAAGTAAATGAGTAAATGGGAGGTTAAAGATGGGGAGATTTAGAGAAAGGAAAGTGGTAGTGATTATAGAATTTAAATGCATTGGTCCTGGTTAGCTTAAGTATTTTATTAAATAAGATTAGAGATCTGTGGAGAATAAACAGAGTAGATAAGAATGAAATAGCCCACCAAGGCATTTAGACTGCATAGAGCTAAATGGGAAAACAGGAAGGTATTGTAGGCTGTGAGACTAGGGAGGGGTGGATGGGCAGAGATTAATGAGAATGAAGGGAAAGTATGCGATGAGAACGGGAGAATTTAAAAGGCAGGAGAAAAACATGGTGTGTGAAAGAAACATCCTGAATCAGAGGGACCTGGGCCCACACAGACCTAGACTCCTCACATACCAGCAGCTCCTTGCACTTGGCGAGTTACTAATTCCCTGGGTCTGTTTCCTCATCTATTAAATGATGACACTGCCCACTCCATAGCACCACTGAGAAGAATGAGATTTTATATGCCCTCACCCCACCCACCCCATCTCTGACATATATAAAGTATTCAATAAATTTCACTTATTTTCAGAGCATTTTTTTCAGGATCTGAGAAGTTGGCAGATATCCAAACTGAGAGATGATGAGATTCTAAACTGAAGCAGCTAAAGAGCTGACCTTGTAACTACAGATGGTAAGAGGATATAGTTTCCTGAGTTTTACTCAAGAACAGTAGGTAGATGACTCTTCCCCCTCACTGTAAAATGGGTCTAAAAAGTTTAACAAGTTCAGCTATTTTTATTAATGTAAACTTTTAATCAAACAAAGCCACCTGTGGGATGAAGGAAGTTCTTTGCAAAGCTGTGTTGAAAAACAATGTCATTCCAGGTTTAGTTAGGCTAAATCCCCATCTAAAATCCAGTTACAACAGCAACAATAATAATTAAAATAAAACAATCCAAAACTTGCTATTAAAGATTCTAGAGCCCTAATCTTTATATAACAAAACTTCATTGCAGGAAAATAAAATCAAAATGCTCTAAGAATTACAATGGGATTTTGCCAGCAGTACAGTGTTCAAGTCCTTCAAACAAAAGCAAATGGAAACACAAGTCCAGACACCAGTGACCCACAGACAGATATACTTTTAATAATTAGAAAGTTAGTACTCAATACTGTCTTTGTGTGGGAGAAAGCATTCTTGATTTTTACTTAGCTGTATACAGTATTTTAAGATAATGTATAATACATATTTGACACAAAGCGTTAGATGTTCACACTGCAAAGAATGAATCCCCTACCTTTGATATCTTAAAAAGCTTTTCAAAGACTATACTTTCAGGGATCATTTCTATAGTTCATTAAAAAGCTTTTCATCTATTAGTGAACCTAAGGCACTACATATTCCCCGCCCCATCCCCCCGCATTATGATTTGTGTTGTTTAAATGGAAGAAGTTGATCTTATGTGATAGTATGCATGCCTCAAGAGGCATCTTTGAGAGTCACATATCCCCTTAGCTCTTGGCAATGCAAGAGGAAAGCATTCCTCAAACCAAAGCTAATCTTCCAATCAAAGTATAGGCAACATTTAGCCTGATTTCTTACAAAAGCTTATAGATAGGTGTTTTTTCATTCTTCACCACCATGAGTTGGGAAAGTATGCCTGTGGGCCAAATCCTGTCTGTGCCTGTTGGTTTGTAAATAAAGTTTTACTGGAACACAGATATGACCATTTGCTTAGTTATTGTCTATAGTTGCTTTTGTGCTTCAATGGCAGAGTTGAGTAGTTGCAACTGGGAGACCACATGGCTTACAATATCTACTATCCGGCCTTTTATAGAAAATGTTTGCTGACACCTGACTTGTAATAATTTGACCTTTGGGGCAGAGCCATGTTACAGAATCCCAATTTCCAGAAAGAGGTTGGGTGAGAAGCATCAAATATCACAGACAAGTCAAGGGGAGCAGTCTGACAACAGGCATCTTCCTGGTAGCTTGGTGTCCAGGCACATGCCAGGCACTCAGTGAGTGCTTATCCATTTGTTTGTTCAATGTATTCTTGAGATTTGCTTTGCCCACTGGGTAGAAAGAGTAGAATCCTTTGAAAGCAGCTTAATCAAGTTCAAAGTTGTCAAAGGTAGTAAGTAACATTTTCATCCAGATTTGCTAAGAACAGGACATGCCTTAACCATATTTTGTTTTTAATATGAACTGAATCAAAGTAAGTTATAAATTATAATGCTTTTAAACACAGACTAATTGCTTTTACTATTAACTGTATCATTGGAATTTTCACATTGTAACACTAGCTGGAGGTCTTTGTGGTTAATCAGTTGAGAAATGGGTGATTAGACCCATTTTTCATTTCAGCCACTGTTTCTTGTGTGCCCTCTTTGTATCAAGCAAGATGTCAAATGCAGGGAGTCACAGTGAACTCTTTTATCTCATTTTACTTGTCAGATACCCATTTCTTCCCTCCGTATTCCTGCTTTGCCATAAGCAGGACTGGCAACCCCCTGGCCTTAACAGCAAGGGATTTGGCCCGGCCCAGAATTTCACTGCAGGATTTTTAGACACAAAGAGGTGTGAGGTCACCACTCATGCAGGGAAAAGTACCTGTGAGGTTGTGTAGGCTCCAGTGGCAAGTTCTGATGTTGAGGTCACTGATCCTTGCAAAGTCTTAGGGAAAGGAAACAGCAGCAAGCAGCTCTTGGGGTGAAATAAGACCGTTGGGTTTGTGGTTGACTCTCAAAATTATGTTTAATAAAGAAATCAGTGACACACACCAGGTAAGTCCTATGGTGCAGAGCTGTGAGCTCTGGCCATTGCGTATTTCTCTTCATGTTGCTTTTGGTTCTCAGAAGTGAAACACAAAGTGCAGATTCCTGGGTTTAAGACCCAACCCTGCTATATCCCTTCTGTGAATATAATAGTGATAAATGAACAGCAGACTAAGGATTATATTAGGGGAGAAAAGAGGATGCTGGTAGAAGTGAGACCAGAGATTGCTTTTGCATTTGTTATAGTTTTCTGAACTCCCTAAATCAGATTCTTGCACAGAGGGTGTATGCAATTTATATTTTCATGCTCTATGGATTAACTTTGTAATCAGCATGATATATTTTAGTAACTTTCTCTAGAAGTTAGGACACTGTTAACATCTCACAAACCTCAGGCTATTACAAAGTATTTTGATCCTTTTAACAGTCCAAACACAAGAAGACAGACTGTATTTTAGGTGTTGACAGAACTATTTGTTTAAAATAACAATTTCAGGGCTGGCTGGTTAGCTCACTCGGTTAGAACATGGTGTTAATAAAATAACAATTTTACGTGAGTTAGCGGTCATAAAATTTAAAATGAAATACCAATTTCATATCCTCAGATACCTCTTTGCAAATGTAAGACAAAGCAGTGTTTTATAATCATTTAATAATCTGTGTAACAACTGTGATTTTGGTATACTCAGAAGTAGAATTCTTTTAAATTATAAAGGATTTTGTGTGCTTGAAATCCTAGGAAAAGAAAGAAAAAACAAGTTTAAATATATTGTATTAATTCATATTTAAAGAAATATATATAAATCTTATGAATATCAAGCTACTTATAATTTTAGAGGTAAAAGCAAGCATATATTTAATTAAATCTATTTTATGGGGAATTTAAATACTAGGAGACACGGTATTTGGAAACTTTGCCAAGGAAGTAAAGAAGTAGGACTGAAAGAGCAAGAGAAATCTTGTTTGTTAGGGGGATGCTACTGGCATCTAGTGAGTAGAGGCCAGGGGTGCTGCTAAACCTACAATGCACAGGACATCCCCCCACAACAAAGAACTATGCAGCCCAAAATGTCAATAGTGCTGAGGCTGAGAAACTCTGCTGTAGGGCAAAATAGAATTGAAGGAGAGTCTATTTCTTAGCTGATGAGGGCAACTGAGAAGAAAACAGACAAAAAGGAAAAAGTCTTTTCTATTCTTTCAATTTAGACTCAAAGTGTCTCTTACTGTTGGTGGGATGGGATTTCATTCCACACTCAAGGAATACTTTCCATAAATAGTAGGAACAAATATGGAGTTACATATTGTTTGTCTTCTAATCAAATAACAATAGTATGCTTTCAGTGTAGTAAACTGCAAAATAAGGTGACTTTGATAGACAGTTTCTGGAGTAGATAATTTAAAAAAATCAAATTTTTACAGGAGAAAACTCAATGGAGCAGTAAGTGGGTGTTAAACACTCATGTCCATTGGAATGACTTGTTTAAAATACTGATGTCTACACTCCATCCCAAGATCTACTGAAAGGAAATCTGAGAGAAACCCTGCCATAGTTTACTAAAGATTCTGAGAACCTACACTCCGTTTCTCAAGAAAGGATTTAGGCCTCTAAAACATTGGAAAACTCTCCCCATCCTTCCACTATATTCTAGTATTCCTGAAAAAATAACCCAGAAAGTTGACTATCCCTCCAAAGAGCTACAAAATCTGAGCAATGACATTTACTGCTTCACTGTAGAGTTTACAAATTCAAAAGTACGTAAGAGTCCAAATGTCTAAATTATATTCCCTAAACCATCTGAATTAGATAATTATTGCATCTTTTCAAGGATTTCTGAAATGCTTCTTTCAACAACAGCAGAGGATATTCTATGCTCTGGTCTGAATGTTTATGTCCTGCCTCCCTCCCCAAATTTGTATGTTAAAACCTAATCCCCAATGCAGTAGTATTAAGAGGTGGGCATCAGGAGATGATTAAGTCATGAGGATGGGGCCCCCATGAATGGGATTGGTGCCCTTATAAAGGAGGCCCCAGGGAGCTTGTTTTCCCCTGCTACTGTGTGAGGACAAAGCCAGAAGGTGCCATCTATGAGGAACAGGCCCTCACCAGACACTGAATCTGCTGGCACCTTGATCTTGGGCTTCTCAGTCTTCAGAACAGTAAAGATAAATTTCTGTTGTTTATAAATTACCCAGTTTATGGTTGTTTTTGCTATGGCAGTTCAAACAGACTAAGACATCACATTGCCTTAAAGTTTTTGAAGTGCTTCAAATAACCAAACATGAGTCCTGGAACCACAGATCTGCTGGAAGCGATCCGCTTGGCCAAGCTGCCAGAAAGCTGCCGGCTCCACTGCTGCTATCCTGGGAGAATTGTGTCTTAATTTGCTCATCTGTCAAATAATGCCAGACCCAGTAATAATAAGGAGGCACACTATTATATAAGACACTGTGAGAGAAAATAATGATATGATAAAGATCACTTTCTGTAATTGCTCTATATCTTTATCAAGCCATCTCAGACAGGGGAATGAAGCTAACACTTATTTAGCTCCTAAATTCCAGTGATAGACACTAGTACAATGTGTATTAAAAGTGAAAATTCACAACTTCTATATACAATTGTGTCATGTCCCCCCATTCCCTAAACACATCTGCTCTATAAATATGCTTTAAAAATACTCACGTTTTCATTTATTGTAGTATCTTTAGATGCAGAACTACTCTTCCTGTTTGTGGAATACAAAAGACAATATTTACTACATTATTAACTTCCAATTCTGAAACACATATCCTCTTTTAGTTAATGTTACCTTCCTAAATTTTCTCAGCAGGAAGATGAACATTAATTTTTGCCAGGTAGAAAAAAACCAACAATCCTAACTGAATTTCTTATATTTATAGACAACATTCACAGTGAAAACCACACAACATATATTAGTGTGTGAGAAGCCTTGTGCATCTAAATGTAGCCTAGGGCTAGTCTACTAAAGATTTTTGTAGAATACACAAACCATAGACTTACTACCTTTTAACTTAACATATTAACATTTATCATTTTGAAAACTTGTTTGTTATAATCTCAAAATTCATTTTTTTTCCATAGAAAGAAAGATTCACCTGGTAACTAGGGTTCCAGTCATCCAATTCTTCATTTAACAAATTTTGTGGACCATGGATTTAACACATGGGAGGAAATATGTCTAGGAATAAAGGTACTCCCTCCCACATTACTGCAGATTTGATAGAGACACTGATGGAAGGCAGAATAACCTCCCTCACCACAGCAATGCCAACCTTCCCACTTACATAAGATGATACTTCTCCTCTGCTCAAAACCCTCCAATTACTTTCCATCTTACTCAATAAAAGTAGAAATTCTTACAGTTGCCTGGGGGCCGGGGGCAGGGCAAGAAGTGTGGGGGTGGCTACACACTCTGGCTTTCCTGCTCTTCTGAACTCACCCCCTTTGCTGCTGCTAGTTCTGATAACTTGGACTTCATCCTAGATTTGTACTGGGATATTATAAGACTGAGAGACCAGGGTTGAGCCACAAGTCTGGGAACAGGAAATCAATGGCAGCTAAGTCTTCAAAGGACTTAGGGAATCGCAAAGTATCTGAAGCCATGGCAGCTGGTAGTAAAGGGGAATGCCCACAGACCTAAAGTTGGGTCTGTTGTGTCTGTGTACAAGAAGGACAGTCACAAAACAAATGAACACAAATTGGGGCTTTAGTGATCTCACCCAGATCTCATGTACCAATGTATATTTCTATTTTCCCAAACTCCAGATTCATGTATCTAGTTACTTACTGATGATCTCTACTTGGATGTCCAATAAATATACTGAATATTAAAATTCCAAACACTCCAGACCACTCCACATGCCCCCCCCCCAAACGGCTCCTAAGCCTGCTCCTCCTAAAATCTTTCCATTTTTGTAAATGATAATGCCATCCTTCTCATAACCTTGGTGCCACCTTTGATTTCTGTGTTTTTCTCACACCCTATATCCAATCGATCAGCAAACTGTTAAAAATACACCCAGAATCCTATCATTTCTCAACATCTCCAATATACTGCTTTGGTACCAGCTGCAATTTTCTCTTACCTCGATTACTGCAGTAGTTTCCTAACTGGTCTGTCTGCTTCCAGCCATTGTCACCTCAAAGTTTATGCTTAACCTAGCAGCCAGTGTGAACTTTGAGAAATTACATGAAACGATGCTACTACTCTGCTCAAAGCCCTCCAGTGACTTCCTATCTTACTCAGAACCCAAGGTGAACTCCTCACACGTGCCTAGAAAGGACTCCATACAAGTTGGCCCCCACTGTTTTTCTACCCTCATCTCCTCTGTTTCCCTCACTCTGTTCCAGCCACACTGGTCCCCTGGATGTACCTCAGACATTCGAGGCATGCCCAGCCTCAGGATCTTTTCATTCATTCTCTCCCCTCTCCTTGAACGCTGTTCTCATGGACACTTATATAACTTGTTTTCTTACCTTCTTCAGATCTTTTCCAAACATCACCTTATCAGTGAGGCCCTCCTGACCACCCTACTTAAAGTGAGTCTCCACTCCTACTCTGCATATTCTCTATTATCTTACCAGCTTTATTTTTCTCCATGATACTAATATAATCTAACACCCTGTATAATATATATATTTGTTTGCTTTCTGCCTTCTCTATAAGAATGTAAGCTCTACAAGGCAGGGTATTGTGAGGGGATTTGGCTTGTTTTGTTCACTGTTGTATTGCCAGTCCCTAGAACAATGTTGGCCACAAAACTGGTATTCAATTAAAAATTAAAAATTATGAACTAGAATTTTATTTGAAAATTTTCAACTTAGCAACATACAGTAAATTCTTTTTTAAGCAGTACTATAGAAATGCCTACAAAGTTGAATTAGTGACCATATTTCTTTTCTAGGTAATTAATCACCATTCACAAGTAGGTATAAGGTATGAAGTGGAATGTATTCCTTAATGAACCTAAGTAACTTCCTATAGGATTAAACCTAAGCAAATAACCCAACTTCCCACTTTTGACTTTAAACAGATGATTAATAGAAAATTAGTTGATATAGGGGAAACAAACATCATGCATTTTAAGAAAGTATACTTACTGGAAGGAGGTTTCTTCTACAAAAGAATAAGTATATAATTAATGCAAGAGTTAATATGGTATGACACAGATTCATATAAAAATGAGTTTTCATTTAATTTCTTAGTATTAATCGATTCTCACTTGCTGACATTTGTACCTTCTAAATCAAGGGTTGGCAAACTTTTTCTGTAAAGTGCCACACAGCAAATATTTTAGGCTTTGTGAGCCAAGAGGCAAAATCAAAGATATTATGTAGGTACTCATAAGAGAGAAAACAAATTCCTAAAAATTTTTATTGATGAAATTAAAAATATAATAAAATTTTATAATACAGGTCTACTAGTTAGAAGAATGGAATTTGAGGGGGATAACATTTCTCTTAATTGGGGTCAAAGTTAGTGTTCATTATCGTCAAATAGATTGCAAATTTTCATCTGTAGATGCCATTTTTAGCTGATGAGTCATAGAAAAATGGGTGGGGGCCTGGATTTGGTCTTCAGGTCATAGTTTGCTGACCCCTGTCCTAAATGCAAGTTCAAGAATACGGTTCTCTTAGATTTTCTGCTAGATGAAAGTGGGAGCAACAGTCTTAGCTCATGAACTCCTAATATCCATGTTGACTCTTTAATTAATTCAGTATCTTAAGAAAGTTTGTTTACCAACTCCTCATTAAAAATACTCATTCAGGTATTTTTCGCAAGTATAGATAAAGACGACAAGAACGTTGACTGAGTGATCTTATTTGTCTGTATTTTCACTGGTGACCAGCAGGGGGACGCAGCTGGATTTCATTCATATAATTACATTACAGTGGACTAAACAAGCATCCATACACAAGAACAAGTATTATTCATTCAGAGAGTAGTTATTCTTAATTTTAGGAAGTCCCATGGAAACATGACATATAATAACCACTTATAGGTACTATTCGAAACTCCTTGTAAATTTGTTTTATTTTGGCAAAAAATATTTTTTAAACCTAAATTCCAAATTAACGTTCACTATAAAGCAGTGGGTCTAAAACTTGTTCATGCCATAAATTTATTTATTATTTCATTTAAAAAATTCTACTTTATAAACTATTGCCAGTGGACTTTCTGGAGTTCTGCAGCTTTTGAGCTCTCAGATAATTTTAAAAACTTGGAGTGAAGAAATGCATTAAGAGAATAACATGTTATTTTTTAATCTTACCCACTTACATCAAACCTATTGCTTCATCAAATGGGTTTCTGAAGTTACAAGAGGTCTAAACTTGAAGAACCAAAACCCTTGTACAGAATCAACTCTAATATAATAAGTTTCTAGTTTTTTTTTTTTTTTTTGTCTCTTTTTGTCTTTTTCCGTGTCTGGCAACGGATCGCAACCCGCAGTGCTGCCCCCGTGCCTGCAACCGGTCTGTATGTGGGATCCGAACCCTCGGGCGGGAGCGCGGCCGCACTTCCCAAGCGGCGCACTTATCCAGTGCGCCACCGGGCCGGCCCCTAAGTTTTTAGTTTTGATTGAACAATTCTCTTCCAAATCCAGATGTGCTAACTTTGACATTCAATAT